CTCGGCCAGGAGTTGAGAGTGACTAGCCATCAGCTCCTCCTGTCGGCTGAGAACGGCTTCATGGCGCTGGAAAGATGCCTCATGTCGAGCGATCACCGCCAACAGGTCCTTGGAACTGAGTGTTTCTGAGTCCATGATGGACTTGGTCTTTCTGTCACAAGCTGGGCTTGAACTCAGGTCTCAGATGTGGAGAGTTGGGTGTTCTACCCCTAAGCCACAGAGGAGGTATAGTAGGACCCAAACGAAACACTCAAGGCAATACTCCAGGCAAAGTAGATTTAATATAAAAAAAGGTATTTCTTTGCACTTCAAAAATAATCCAACAAAAGTTCTTCTCAGAAAGAGGTATACTAACAGAGGTACAGTAAACAAAACAGGAGGACAAAACAAAATAACTCCACGAGGGGAGAAAAACAAAATAAAGATAACTTAGAAAAGCTTACTCGGAAAGACTCTGTGGGACACAGCAGGAGACACATAGCCAGGACTCAAAGACCAAGTGAGGAACAAGGGGAAAAAACACAGCTAAAATACTCTAGGGGAAACAAGGCACAGGTGACCTGGATAAAGCTAATAAGGACACACGAGGAAGAACTAAGGCAGAGGGGAACACAGATGACCTCTAGAGGCCCGGAGACAAACAGGAGGCAGGAAGCTGACAAGGAGAGAGACTTTCTGACAACAACCGCAAAACTTTCTACCTCACTAACCGCAATTAGTACGTCACACTTGGTGAGGCAAGATCAGAGGAGTCCACCATAACCTGCGGTGTCCCACAAGGGTCGGTGTTAGGACCTATCCTCTTCCTGCTCTACATGCTCCCACTTGACCAGATCTTCAGACTACATAGTGTCCAATTCCACTACTACACAGACTTCACACAGGTGAACATTAAAACAAAGCCTGACTCATCATCTGCTTTGTCAACATTGTCAAACTGTCTGGAAGAGGTCAAATCTTGGATGCAGAATAACTTCCTCCAACTCAACAGCAGCAAGACAGAAGCAATGCTGATAAGCATACCCCAGCAGATCACCAACTCCTGCAGCATCCGCCCTGCCATAGATGGCCACATATGCCCTATGAACCTCCACGCACCTCACATTCAAGCCACGCTTATACTCCTTCATGGCCCCAGGACCAGGCTCCTCACAATGGGGGACCGTGCCTTTTCCTCCATCGCACCATGCCTATGGATCTCCCTTCCAGATAATCTCAGGGTTGTTCAGACTGTTGGAGATTTTAAAGCAGGCCTTTAACTGACCTCTATCAGCTGGCCTACCCTTCCTTCTCGACTTTGATTGTTGCTTTCATGATATGGTTATATATTATGTAGGTTAGGTTAGGTTATGTATTATTATGTGTTTTTTACTATTTTTCTATTTTCTATTTTATTTTATGCACTTTGAGATTAATGTTGTATAATAAAAAGCGCTTTACAAATGTAATAAATTATCATAATTATTATTGATCAAGTCCAAGTCTGAGTCATCACTGGTCGTGTCTTGAATCTAGTCACGGGTCATCAAAATCTGGACTGGACTTGTACACTGGGATAAATGGTGCAGAGGTGAATTACTACTTCAGTGATAATAACCCCTAATGCTGAAAAGCTTGATCTGATGTCATACAGGGATGACAGTAGGCCTACCTGCTGTTGGACTTATAATACCTCAGAAGGGTGAATGTCACTGCACAATGCTATGCAAGCTCCTACTATGTTATCAGTTAAATACTACATTTTGTACCAGCACAACACACCTGATTCAAACATCCACTAATCATCAATTTAGGCCCTGGTTGGATGAAACTGGGTGGTAGAGCTGGGCTGGAACAAAAGTCTGTTCACACTGCACTCTACAGGACCAGAATTGCTTAACCCTGATTAAGTCAAGTCAAGTTCATTTGTTCATACGCACAGGATACAAATGGTACATAGTAAAATGAAATGCTTACTTGCAGGTTCACCTATCAACAAGGCTACAATAATAAGAATAGGAGTAAGTATGTAAAAAAAAAATGTTTTTAATTAAGTTCAATGGAATAAAAATATTAATGTATATATGTGCTGGGGAGGGGGAATATGGAGAGAAAAGTGTTGAATTAAGCAATAAGTTTGTGCAATAATTAAATAAGTCCAATAGCAGTAGTCATGGTGTGTGTGTGTGTGTGTGTGTTTGTGCATATCAAATCAAATCAAATGTTATTTGTCACATGCACCAAATACAACAAGTGCAGACTTTACCGTGAAATGCTTAGTTATGAGCCCTTTCCCAACAATGCAGTTAAAAAGTATGACAATTAGAAAATAGATAAAAATAAAATAGTAACACAATAGAATAACAATAACGAGACTATATACAGGCTTATACAAGGAGTATTGGTACCGAGGTAGTTGGGGTGATTGATTGTGGTCATATATACATGTAGGTTTGGTTAGGTGATTGATTGAAGTACTATCTACATGTAGGTAAGTGGTGGAAAGCAGAAAGTCCGGGTAGCCATTTAATGAACTGTTCAGCAGTCTTATGGCTTTGTGGTAGAAGCTGTTCAGCAGCCTTTTGGTCCCAGACTTGGCGCTCCGGTAAACTTCCCATGCAGTAGCAGAAAGAACAGACTGTGTGGGCACGTGAGTGGATGTGTGAGCGAGTGCATGTCCGCTAAGGTGCGAAAGGTCAGTGCAAAGAAACTGTTGGTGTGCAGGTGGTCGGTCCTGGTTCAGATGTTCAGCAGTCTGATAGCTTGTGGGTAAAAGTTGTCTCTGAGCCAGGTGGTCTGAGACTCGATGCTCCGATACCGTCTACCAGACAGTAAAGGCGTGAACAGTCCATGGCTGGGATGTGTTGGGTCCTTGATGATGTTGCGTGCCTTCCTCAGGCACCGCTTGAAGTTAATGTCCTTTACGGGTGGGAGCACGGCCCCAGTGATGGACTGGGCCGTCTTCAGGTCCTTGAACAGCATTCTCACATAGGTGTTCCTCTTGTCCAGGTTTGAAAGAGCCGTATGGATTACAATGGAGATGGCATCTTGAGTGGATCTGTTGGAGTGGTAAGCAAATAGGAGTGGGTCCAGTGTGTCTTGCATCCTGGCCTTGATGTGGGCCATGACCAGCCTCGCAAAGCACTGGTCGGCCAAAGATGGTTTTCGTCTAACTGTCTGCGTTGACCGCCAACCAAGATTCTTCATGTCAAATCGGGAAATACGGCCACCATTCACGACCAACTATCAGCAACAGCGTGAAACACGGACAGAGATTTTGAGCACTGATTGTAGGTCCTGTGTGTCACACCTATCTGGAATGAAATAGCCCTATCAGGATAAATAACTCAACTATCAGGATGATGCTCAAGATGCTTCCCATTCATCAACATTCAAAACAGAAATAAAGATAAAGAACTCAGGGGCTCACTATCAAAAAGAAGGACAGGAAGAAAACTCACACTCTTTCAGCCAAAGTTAACTTCATGCAACACTTCCGTTTTGATGGGAAGTGTGTCTCCCCAGGGAAGGAGCCAACCATCAAGATGCCACAAAATAAAGTTAATGAAGCATTAAGTTTGAAATGAGTTGGGTTTTTAGTTTAGGGGCAGATATACAATCATCACTGTGATGACTATTTTGACTACTGGGGGAAAGGGACCCAAGTCACGGTAACTTCTGGTAAGTAGCCTTAACATTCAGACCTAAAAAAGTGATTTTATAGTTGATGTATAACTAGTGACTATTATTTTATTACTTTGAATGCTTTTGTACTAAGTATTGGTCAGACCATTCACTGTGACAACTACTTTGACTACTGGGGGAAAGGGACCATGGTGACCGTGTCCACAGGTAAAAAATATATATATATTCTGTTTATTTTGACTTTGATTCAAAAGTCTGGTCTTAACTTGCGTTAGTTTTTGTGCGTTGCACGTATTGAAAGATTGCACTGTGACTATGGTTTTGACTACTGGGGAAAAGGCACAATGGTTACCGTTTCATCAGGTAAGAAAATGATTATGATTTCATCAAATGTGTAAGTGAGTTTTCAAATAGTCAAATAGATCTAGGTTTTTTAAACTTGATTCTAGGCTAAATTTGCTCAATTGAATTGTGGATCAATAACAGTAATGGTACACTATAACAAAGAAATATATTTATCATATGGACAAAAACAACTAAAAATAATTCATGTGATTTTAAAACAAAGCTTTAAAAGTGCAATATAGACTATATAAAAAATAGAAATACGTTGGCGTTCATTTTGCGCTTTTTGGTTGGGAATAAGAGGGTATAGAGCCTGGGGAAAATGCTTTTTTATACCACTCGTTAAGTTCATTGAACACTGTGCTACGGTGCTTTCGACTACTGGGGTCAGGGTACAATGGTAACCGTTTCATCAGGTAAGAATCACATTTTTTCGACTGCAGCATTATTTTTTCGGACATATTATAATTTACTCT